CTTGTCTTCTCTTATTTCTTTTGTGAGTTTCTTTTCTTTTTTTTTTTTTTTTGGGTACTGGGGATCGAGCTCAGACCCTTGCGCTTGCGAGGCAGGTGCTGGAACCACTGAGCTAAATCCCCAGACCTTTTGTGAGTTTCTTAGAAGTAGAGTTTACTCTATGGGTACAATTTCACTATAGTGCAAGGCACACACACACAAAAAATGAATTAAGCATTTCAAAAAAACTGCACCCTATACTTTTGTCCAGAAAAAAGTTTTGTTTTTTCATTATCTTAATACCTATGTCTAGATAAGAATTAAGGATTTGATGTTTAGGAAAGAATTCTCCAAGAATGGTAAAATTGTGACAATGTATACTTATTATATTCTTCCACAGAGTTGCTTCAAAATACTTCTTATTGTACCTTTGGAAATCTTCACTTTAGATGACAACAAAACATGGTAAGCCATATCTCCTGAATTATTAACTATCACATCACTAAATTGTTTTATGTTTTTCCCCTTTTGATGTTTCACACATCAGATTTTAAGTTGTTTAGTGCTAAGAAGTATGTTTATTGATCTTTGAACTTATATTTACAATACTCCCCATGAGCCCAAAGATAAAGTATAACTGTATTTACAGGTGTGCTGATAAATCCATTAGAAAAAAAATTATCATTTGCAGTGTTTGCTGATTTCTGTGGTATAAATATTCTGATTATGGTGATTTGAAGCTACTGGTTTGATCTCATTGAACAAAAAGTCAGAAGGAATGTATACAAAATGGCCTTCGCAAGGTGGTATATACAGTACTGGGTTCAGCACACTGCAGCCTCTACTTTTTGTTGGATTCCTGGAGCATTTCTTTTGTCTATCACCACTTTCCCATGACTCCCATCATAAAGATTTTTTGCATTTCTCTGATATCAATATAGTTGTCTTGAGTACCTTTCCAGGAAATGCACATATGGGATCTTGTTTTGTATAACCGCTTATAGTCCGAGAACCATCAATTATATACCTTAGTTCTTTCTTAGGAAAATGGAGTTATGTACTCATTCATGGCATTTTTGAAGCCTGAAGATTTATGGACAATCATGTGTGTTGATCACTAATTTTTCCATGGAAAAGGGAACATAAATTTTATTAAATTTCTAAGCAACTTTTGTGCAGAAAAAGGACAAGAACCTCTGTTCCAAATTTCCTTCCATTTTACTGCATGATCATCTCTAGTTCTCCAGAGTTCACATTTCTTATAATAAATAATCAAATACGTCCAATTCCTCAAACTTTTCTTTTACACCTCTAGCACTGGATAGTGATTTACACTTACGTGGCATGAACTTTATTTCCACATTTTGTCTTACAGATTATTCATAAAGTAAGCAAGCTGACTTATAATCTAAGAAGGCTACCACACTTTTAAGGGCATGATGTGGATTCCTAGAGATCCAGGTCTTACCTTTGCTGCTTTTGGCATTGTGTAGTACAGTTTTGAAGAGGATGACATCTGAGATAGAGGCAACTGAGGTTAAAATCTCAACCATGATCCAAGTTAATTGTGTGAACTACATATCTCTAAAGCTCATCTTTTTCATCAGTATACATTTCAATTATTTTTAATGATATATATTTATGTGGTCGTTTTGAAATATATGTGGATTATTTCTTAAAGGTAGTATAATATCTACTGTAAAGCAATCAGAAAATGTTAGTTGCTATAAATATTATTTTAATACTTCATTATTATAATATTCAAAACCCCTTACTAGATTGTAAAATTCTTAGGATAGCATATTATGCTGGTTTCTCGTGACCTAAATGTATATTTATTGACTATTGTTAAAGATGTGCAAATATCAAATTGACAGTTACTTACTAGACTGCTTTTTTATAATGAAAATAAGTTACATCTAACTGCTTCGATCTTAATAATCTTTATTTATTTTGTAAGGTACAGACTCAGTACAGCCTTGCGGATCTGTTTTGCTTTTACACTGTAGATGATGGGATTGAGCACAGGGGGCAAAAGCAGGTATACATTGGCCATCACTGAGTGGACCACTTTGGGAGCTGACCGACGATAGTGATGAACCAAAGACAGGCTTATCACGGGGTTGTAGAATACAGCAACTGCTCCAATGTGGGAGATACATGTGCTGAACAGCGTGTTCCTTTCTTGTGGGGAGGCAATATTGTGGACAGAGTGAATAATCAAGACATAAGACAGAATGATGCATGGGGTGTCTATCCCTGTGGTCAGGATGAGACTAACTAATCCACAGATGTTATTTGCCCAGATGTCTGAACAAGCTAATTTAATCACATCTGGATAATAACAGTAGGAATGGGAAAGGGCATTCATTCTGCAGAAAGAGACAGGCTTAAGGAGCAAAAGCAGTGGTGTTATTGTGATCACAAAACGTAAAATCACTAGGAGTCCCATCTGAATGATTCTGGAAATAGTGAGAATTGTAGTGTACCTGAGAGGATTACAGATTGCTACATAGCGGTCAAAAGCCATAGCCACTAGCACCCCAGATTCCATTATGGTAAATGCATGAAGAAAAAACATCTGGATGATGCAAGCATCTAGACTGATTTCTCTTGCATCAAACCACAGGATACCCAAAGTTGTTGACATTGTAGAAACAGTCAAGCCCAGATCTATGGCTGACAGCATGGAGAGGAAATAGTACATCGGCTTGTGGAGACTCTGCTGGGTGATGATGACAAAGAGGATCGCACTGTTCCCAGAGAGGGCAATGGCATAAAGACAACAAAAGGGAATGGAGATCCAGGCCTGGGCAGACTCCAAGCTAGGAATGCCAGTCAACAAGAAGTTTGGAGATTTAGCTGACAAGTTGCTTAGAATTTTCATGTTGCTCTGGATTTGTAGCATTTTTCCTCAAGATGTTCACATCCTGCAAGAGTAATACAATATTATACAAAACTACAGCATTTAGTTATTTTTAATAGGAGAGTTATCCAGTGTAACATTTAAGGTCTATCTTTGAAATAAACATATAAATTAAATTATAATATTTATTTACTATTCATAATTAATTAGGGACATTTTAACTGTTTTGCCCTTAATAAGGAAGGCATGTATATGTAATTTTACATTTTGATGATAATAATTTTTGTACAGATAGAGATTCTTAATCTCCAACAGACACTGTGAATCAAAACTAAGTTAAGAAATATCATTGCATTCAATTTTGAATATATTATTTTGTGAAATGAGTCAGAGAAATCCATTTAAAGACATATGTAAGTCAGGAGCAGAGGTGTGTGTGTATATTTCCAGGTACAGTTTTCCCAATTTTGCCAGTGATACAGACTTGAAAGTTATTATTTTATGGACATCCTTTTAATCCAACAGTATGGGTGAACAAACTCAAAGAATAGATATATAAGCGAAATCAATAAGGACATTGCTTTGTGGGAGTCATTAGAAAGAACTCTATCCACTAAAAATGATGAAACTTGACACATATATGGGAACCATAAGAATCAGAGAATGTGATATTATGACTGGGTTTCACCTGAACAACAGCATCAAATTTCTCGAGCAGTCAAGGCTGGTAAGGATTAAAAAAGTCAAAAGCAGCTGAGAGTATGTTAGTGACCCTGGAAAAAGCAGTTGAACTGGACAGATGAAAATTGCAACTTGCTACAGTGGCTTGCTTGCATAATAAATGGAAAAGTGAGTAGAAAAGGTTTGGTGTATTTCTAGAAAGTTAGGAATGAAGGTAAGGTGACAAATAAACCATGACTAATGAATTCTGTGAAGTGTATGAAAATTTTTGAAATATGAAAAATCTTAGAATAATAGGTAAATTTATCACCTGAGGTAAAAGATACAATAGATGGTGAGAGATTGAAGATTTGGAATGAGAGGGATTAATTGATATGTGAAATGTCTTAAGAAAGTAGTAAGTGAGCTTGGGTAATGGTAATAATTTACATAAAAAAACAAGGGGCCTCACCTCCATTGATAGTAGAGAGTTAGTGGTAAATGGGTAGTTTGATGAAGAGTTGTGAGATGAAATTACCAACCAATGTCTCTGTGAATCACTAGGGTGATGTACTACTATTGAAGAAGTATAAAATGTTGGTTGATGGCCTGTTCCTAAGGTAGAGGTTGTCTACACAAGAAATGAGTGCGGCAGGTGACTTTGGATATACAAAAATATCATAGTGCCTTTAATTAAATTCTAAAAATCTTTTTAAAAGTAATAAGCTTACATTGCTAAAATAAATTTTAGGAAGTCAAAAGTAAATAATAGCAATAGTACTTATATAATCTTAGTATGTTTCAATCAAGTTTCAAAATTCTGTGTGAAGTTTACTTTGTGGGAGTAAATACCTTGTAATAAGTTGACATGTTATCATTCTTTGCTATGCTAGTTTTCTGTAGTTTCCCGGCTCCTGGTTTGTGGCCTGTTAGAAAAGAAGACAGAATCTTTTAAATCTCTAGGCCTCTGGATTTCAATTCTATCTGAGAAAAACTAGTAACATATTTAACCATGAATTTTTAGATAATGTTATATGGATTCCAAAGTCTAGTGTGCACTCTAATGTTACCTGATTTTCTCTTAGGCCTGTTTGAATATTTGTGAATAGCTAACAGTGAAAGCACAAAGTCAACACAATGAACTCATCTCTCTACCTTCTTAGCAGTTTCATGTGGAAACACAGTCTTTGCTATCTTTGCTAGCAGGGAGAGTATAATCCACACTTCTGGAGCCTTTATAATAAACTGGAATTGAGCTGGGGGATAATCAGTAAGATGTGGATCTCCCTGGGGCTGTGGAAAAAGAAAAATCCAAATCTCTCTCTTTCAATCTTTAAATATAGAATGAGGCTGTAAAATCTCAAAAGAGTTATCTACTATCTCCTGCGTCCATTGTCCCCAGGGACATTTAAAATAGAAAGTAAAGAAGACAAATCATACGTACAGAATCGGCTCTCCCTATCCATTTGTTCTTTATCAATAGAGTCAAACAATTGCACATAGAAAATATTTGGAAAATACTTGAATCTTTGCCTTATAGCACATGTTTTTCCTTGTCATTGTTTCCTGGACAATATTGTATAGCATCTATTTGCAAAGTATTTCATTGTATTGGACATTGTAGGTAATTTAGAGAAATCATTGTGGAGATTCCCCAAAAAACTAAAGCTAGAAATTACATTTGACCCAGGTATTCCCCTTTTAGGTATTTTCCTAAAAGAGTTAAAGTTATCATATTACAGTGATACATGCATGCCAATGTTTTTGGTTTTTTTGGTCTTGTGTGAAACTACAAGTTTTAATGCAAAAGGTAAAGTATGCCACTGTGTCTAGATATTTATCTGAAGAGAACAAAGATGGGGTTCTGAGAAGAGTATCAACACTACAGAAAATAAATGTGATTCCTAAATTATGTTCAAGTTAATATTTATAATAGTATAATTTATAATTGCTAAATCTTGGCAGGAGTCAATATGTCCTTCAACAAAAGAATGGACAAAGAAACTGTGGTATTTAGACACAATGGAGCCCTACTGTGCCATAATGAAAGATACAGTTGAGTCCTTTGTAGGAAAATGGACACACCTTGAGACAATTATGTTAAGTGAAATACATCAGACACACAAACCTAAATATTGCATGGTTTCACTCATATGAGAAACCCAAATTACAAATAAAGAGCAAGATAAAAGAGATATAGAAAGTAGGGACATAGAACTTTGTCAAATGGGAAGGGGATCAGGAGAGAGAGAAAGGGGATTACAAAAGAATTAATGTGTTATTTACAAGTACCAACTCTACACAAGGAATATATATGTTATGTATTGAGAACATGTACTAATAAAAATAATAATATAAATA